TATCTATCTATATATATATATATACATATATATATATATGTCAACTTCCACAGACTTCCCTTGCTTTCTAAAAGAAAGGCTGAATATACAATTGCAAAGCATTAAAAAGACTTTCTAGTGAAAGAGTTTCTTTTAGAAAGATAACTTTTAGATAGCTGGAAGGGCAACAAAAGAACTATAGTCGTATTAGTCATATAATTTGACAAAATAACCATCAAAAAAGAAACAATAATTGTCTCACCTGGCCAAATTGACAGTAAGGATAACAAGTGCTCTTGGTGTGATAAAGATATGATGTGTCAGATAGTACTCCTCCTGCCCTGCAAAGTCCCAGAGAAGGAAGCGGACTTCATGGGTGTACAGCCAAGTGATATCTATTCCTTCCGTCCGATCCTTCATTGCAACTGCCACAGGCTTCCCTTCCCTGAGGCTGTGGCAGAGTGTGGACTTCCCGGCCATGGAAGAGCCCAGAAACATTGCTTTAACTGTCCAGGTAGTTTGAGCATTGGGGTTCTCCTCCATTTGAAGGAAGTAGCTCTGAATGTCCATGACCCCTCCAGCACAGACTTCCTCTGGTGGACACCTCAGTGGATTACCCATGGCCTTGAACTTGGTCAGCTCACAGCTACCTTTCTGGAAAAGCTGGGATGGTAGCTCTGTAAGCTGATTCTTCTCAACCAATAGCTCCCTCAGTTTTGGTAGCCCAACTAGTGGTTCGATGTTTTGCAGGCAGTTTTTGGAAAGGTCCAGGTAAGTAAGACTGGGACACTGGTTTATATCTGAAGGAAGCCTTGCCAGGCGATTGGTGCTGAGTTTTAGGAACTTTAAATTTCTAAGATGTGGGAAGATTCCTTCTGGAATTGATCTGACATTGTTATGATTCATATAGAGTGTCTGTAAATTTTCCAAGTTGCAGATTTCTTGAGAAAACTCGATTATCTTGTTCCTGGACAGATTAAGCTCTGTGATGTTGGTGTTTTTGGAGATGCCGGTGACACGTTTTAGTTTGTTCCTCTGCAAGTCCACACTTGTATACAAAGTAACTGGTGCCAGAAGGTCCTGAGGAAGGTACTTCAGTTTTTGTCCTGATAGATCCCATACCTCCCAACTGGTTGCTGTGTTACAAAAGTAGGTTAACAACTAGGCACCGTTTCATAAAGCAATTTTACTGACTTGTGTGGTACAACCCTACAAACCAGAGACTAGAGGCTGGATCTACCTAAAAGCTTTGCAGCCATTTCCTCCATCTCATATATGGTGTTGTGGCTGTGGGCAGGCAGACAGGAAAAGGACCCAAAATGCAGACTCCAGGAAATGAAATGTAAACTCCAAAACCAGCTTTGTTGCTGAACAAGGAAAAAACGAAATAAACTGAAGATACAAATTAACTAGGCAGGTTGACGGACCGAACACAGAGTGGGGCATGATGGAGATCACGACAAGAAGCAAAGGAAAATGCAGACACCAAATACAAGTGGGGAGCCATTGCAGCGGGGGCACGGGGTGAAAAGGGGGGAGAGAAAACAAACGCTTCGACACTGCTAGCACGGGGCGCCTACAGAGACGCAAAGCAGGAGATGAAGCATCGCTGAATATGTTTCCAAACCAACTTCATTTTAAGCCAAAGACTAGAAAATATGGTGAATATGGTGAAATATGGTGGTTTTTCCTTTGGTTTCACCTCCACAACTGCCGAGGTAGGTCTCCCCTGCAGAATTGGTTTTCCCTTTGTCGGGAGCACGCGCTGGGCTCTCCAAATGACGGACAAACAGTATCCCACATTCTTGATTTTTAGTTCACAAACACTTGTTGTAATAACTAACTACTCCTGACATTTTGGAGATGTTAGCTCTTTATACAGTAAAGTTACAGCGGGATACAAATAACATCAGGCTGATCCTGCCGCGATTTGTTCCCCGGTTCAAATCACGGACAAACAGTATCCCATAGCTGTTTATGTTTTTAAACCCATTTTGCACAGAGAGACATTTTTTGAAAAATGTATTGATAGCAATGTTGAATATTATTACACAGGAAAAAAACAACTACACGTAAAATAATCACATCGTGACGCCTCTGCCTTTCTAAATAGAGGGACAGTAACTGTGTGTGTATATGTAAGCTGTAAAACCTGACGATAGTCAGATTAACTGTATTTTGTCTCTATCTGCTACTATGCAATTCATCTCATTAAACAATAACGTGGTGCACAGCATGACGTAAAAAAAGGCACATACCTTTGACGTTGCGTGACGAACTCTATATTCTTCGTCCACACGTAAATGCAAAAAAGGACTTTTAAAAAATCGCCGTTTACGTGTGGACGAAACAGCTGCGTTTTCAAAAATACCCGTGTAGGTGCGGATGTAGCATAAAAGAGTTAGTAGTTTATTTTATTACTACCTGTAATTTATTGCAGATTACTTGCATTTGCTTAATTGTTTACTAAATGTTTGAGGTGTGAAATAAACCGCAATGGAGCAAAATATGGGTGTGTGTGGTTGGAGGATGTGTGCGTGCGTGTGAACGCGTGCCCGTGGGGGGGTGGGGGGGCAAAATTTTTCTTGTAAAACAAAGGGGGGCCTAGCAAAAAAAACTTTGGGAACCACTGCACTAGAGGTAGGCTGATTGTTCCAAATATTCATCATACATTAAAATATGAAAGCTGAGTTTGTATTGTATTAACTAATTATTGTGATTTAGTGGTCATACAAGTTTTTGCAGAATTTGCAGATTAATGATGTTTCATCTCATAAATCATGACACACTGTTCTCTCCATAAGCTGCCTTTATAGGGTATTGTAAAGTATCGTATAGCACTACCCTACATGTATTTTGACAAGACAGCTTCTTTTTTTCTTTCTAACACAATGACAACAGTAAACATGTTTTTGGAACATGAAAATTCTCTGATGCTAGGGAAGTTCCCTTAAAATTGTCTTCACATCTGTTTTCACAGCCACACAATCTCAGCTTTCTCTAGAATACATTATGGGACAACACCTTGAAAAATGTCTCATTTAACAACTGTCACAGACCTAAACAATATTAGCACTAGAAGTAGAATTCAAGTTACCTACCAGCCATTTGACTGTGGAATTCTTCTCATGCAATTGAAGGACGGTTTACTTCTTGAGCGTTTATATCAGGAAGTGAACAGCTCTGACGGTTCAGCACACTTCCTGATTCTGAGGCAAACAGGTCACTGATGATTAATATCCCTCTCACTCACTTACAAGTCCTTACTGTAAATGGACTGATTCTTTCTTGTATAGCGTTTTCTACTCTCCTAGAGTACTCAAAGCGCTCTATACAACACACAACATTCACCCATGCACACCCTTTCACACTAGCACCCTATGTTTTCTACCCTAACATACGCATTCAACATACTAACTCCCTCTTGCTCTCCGATGGAAGTATCTTGCCCAAGGATATTTGGCATGCAGATTGGGAGAGCCAGGAATCGAACCACCAACCACCCCACACTGTGCAGTGCGTGTGCAATTATGCTTGTGGATCATACCTTATGCATTTATAACACATTTGAGATAAGTTTCTTTCCTAAATGTACAACACTAACCAGTGGCATCATATACATATTTTTAAACAGGATTTTTGTTTCAGCTGACAGTATCTGTGACAAGTTACAGGTCTGTTGCACTTAACTAGTTAGTAGTTAGTAACAGAGCTCATAGTGTGTAAAGGAGGTAGCTTTTGAATACAGAACACATTGAAACATTGTTTGTTTTAAGGTCATATGAGGGTTTTAGGAAGGCTGCTAAACAGAGAGGGCTTATTGCTCATTATACAGGCCTATATCTCACACAGCAGAAAAAGGGAAGTTAACTGATAATAGTATGCAATCACCTTAGCTGAGTTGATTAACCCTTTAAGACCTACCATAGAACCAAGTCCGCCAGACCTTATATTATATTTTTACATGTTGTAGTGTCATTTTTGGGAGCATTTCAAGTTGCTATACATCAATACAACCATTATAACCCAAATTTTAATAATATGTATGCATTAAGTGCATAGTAACTACATAAATTGCAAAAAAGTGCAATAAACTACAAAAAATTTGAAAATTGTTTTTGTTTTTTTAACATATATTTCTAGTTAGAGAAATTTAAGAGGCTTATCCCTCAAAACTGTAAATACAAAAAAGTATACAAAATAGTTTCCCACCACAGGATCTTTATTTTGAGTGTCTTCATAGTTTTATTTTTGAAATACACCAATTTTTATATACTGCAGGAAAAACGAAAATAAATATTGTAATGCAAATTTGCAACAAAACAGCATATGGATCAAAATAAACTATTTCCAGCAGTGTAATTTAAGTTCTAAGCATCCCAGAAATGATACAGAAAGTCATAAAGTCAAAGATAACTTTTAAAAACACCAGTATAGGCTTATGAGGCCCTGAAGTTGAAAAAAAACCCCCCTACATTTCAGTGAAAATGACGTCACTTCCGGTTTCAGGCAGGTAATGGCGGACATGCGATAGTTCGCGCTGACGTCTATTCCAATGTAGGAAGTGTTACGAACAGCTGATCGGATCGGCAAAGTCTGTTTCTGGAATATTATGTTTTTGTTGCTGCAAGCGCTTTTTATGCAATTTTTGCAAAGCTATATGTGGAAGGAAACCGTGACCTAGGACAAGCTGATGGCATAAGATGTAAGTACAACTCCTCAGGTTTCATGTGCAAAAAAAAATTATTGCGCTAGCTTACGTGGTTCCAGTTCTACCGGGATTTAAAAATAGTTATGCACAATGGAGCATGCCCGCTCCGACCAGCTTTAAAGGGTTAAATTAGGTTCTGTACAGAGGTGGGAAGTGTTCCCACCCACCCATACTAAATTAGTTTTTCCACTATCATGTGTAAAATTTAAAACAGAATGTTTTGTGACAACAGCCCAAAAAAGCCACAAGCAGATCCACCTCCTGTTGCGTTACTCCATGGCGCTAGTCATAATGCCTCTGCTAACACACTAAGACCTCCACCAAGGATTCCATACTCATCTCATTCTCCCATCTGCCCTTCTGCCCATTGTGACTCTCTTGGAACTGGACAACTCTCCCTCTCCCGGTTCATTCCCCAGGATACTCTCACGTACACCGCGACCATGATTCAACAGACTGTGTTCCTCTCGTGTAGCATTCTTTGGCCTTGTTACCTTCCTCGTTTCTCGGCCGTTTGTGAATGTTATAGGTTGGGTCATGTTCTAAGTCTTGAATTTCCGTTTTGTTCATAAAACCTGTAAATAGTTCTTCTAGTGCATTGAGTCTGCTTTTGGGTCCAATGCTCTCATTTTGACCAGTTCATGACAACCACTTTGCAATTTGTTCATTTGTTCTGTCTCAATAAAGAGTGGCAAACAAAGACAACACTTGATTAAAAAAAATCACACAAATCACAGGTTGTATTTTTTATTTTTTACTCTCTCTCTCTCTCTCTCTTTTATTTTTTTATCCACTTTAAATTCCGACTTATAGTGAGACTTGGTAGGAGGACTGCAGTTCACCTTTAGATGGCACCATTGATCTTCACAACAAAAACTAGTGGATCTCTGCACACAGAACAGGCTTATACATGTTGGATATATACAGCATGGCAGCATGACTTATTTATCTTATGTTTTTGTTTTTCTTAAAGAAAATAAAATATTTCTGTACTGCACTTTCATTGATATGCACAATAATCATGTAGTTATCAAAAATAATTTTTTTTTTTTCAAATGATTTAATTACATCATTATTTACAGCATAAACTTTATAAAAAGAAGGCTGTACTTGTCTCTGTCGCTCTCTATCTCTCTTTATATATGTGTGTGTGTGTGTATGTGTGTGTATGAGTTATTAAAGCTGTTTCAAATCATTTCAAATAATGTACACAGTTTATGAAGAAAGAAAAGAGCATATTATAATGACAGCACAAATGAAGTTGAGGGAAGATGATGGCTGAGGGAGTTAAAGTTAGGCAACATGGTATAGAAAAAAGGTGGACAAACAGAGCTAAACATGCGGCTTTGAGGTTTGTTACCTCTGCATTAAAGTAGGTGGGGCAGAAATACAGAACTATGACTCTAGATCCAATTCTGCAATCCCATAACCATCCGGGAGAGCTCTTATATGTCAAGTATAGAGATTGCTTAGAGAAAATATATTTTCTACCTTACAGTAAGACCAAAAGTGAATCTAATTCCATTTCATAAACAAGGACCCTTGATA